CACTAACTATGTAGTCGAACACCCCTCACACGCACACACTTAATCTCAATCCTCCACTTGTCACAATCTAAGCCTCACAAGAATTAATCTCCACCTTACACTTGTCAACTTAACAAGATTCCAATTGTTTCAACAAAAGGGTGACAAGTGGTCCAAGGGAAAAGGTGACACTTGTCACATTTTCCAAAATTGCAAAATAGTCCCTCTTCTAAATATCTTCCAAAAATAATTGCAAAATAGTCCCTGAAGGAAAATATCTACCAAAAATAATTGCAAAAAGGTCCCTAAGAAAAAACATCTTTTAAAAAAATAATCGCACGAAGACCCCCCAAAAAGAAAATGTTTCCGAAAAAACTATGTATTCATACCCCTATAAAATGAAATTAAGCATGCATGCTTTTCTATGAAATTAAATCATGCATTGGCATTAAACTAAAATAATGTAAGTGCATGCGGTGCTGGAAAACAATTCCGAACACAAAACCCTAAGGTAACACAAAGGGAAAATAAATAAATAAATAAAATAATAATTAAAAAAAAAAAAAAAAAGAATGGTGGAAGAATGGGAAAAGGAAAAAGATGACACGGTCAATCACAATCCGAACTTGTACAGAACATCCTATTGCTAAATATATGTCTTACCATCGGCTTTCTAAGTTTCATAAAGCTTTTACCTCAAAAATCTCCCACCTGTTTATCCCAAGAACCATTCAGGAAGCTTTAGATAATCCGGATTCGAAATTGGCAATTTTGGAAGAGATGAATGCTTTGAAAAAGAATGAGACTTGGGAGATTGTTAACTTAGGAGAAGAAAATGGTAGGATGCAAATGGCTATTTGCATTTAAGTGTAGAGCTGATGGAAGTATATAGAAAGGTACAAGGCACGTTTAGTGGCAAAAGGATTTACATAGACATACGGTATTGATTACCAGGAGACTTTTGCTCCAGTCGCAAAGATTAATTCAATCCGTGTCTTACTATCCTTAGCAGTTAGTCTTGACTGGCCATTACACCAACTAGATGTAAAAAAAGCATTCTTAAACGGGGATTTGGAAGAGGAAGTCTTTATGAGCCTACCACTGGGGTTTGAAGAACGCCTTGGTGAAAGGAAAGTGTGTAGACTAAGAAAATCCCTATATGGCCTCAAACAATCTCCCAGAGTATGGTTTGAGCAATTTGGGAAAGCTGCAAAGGGCCACAGATATACACAAAGTCAGGCAGATCACACTATGTTCTTTAAACACTCAAAGAAGGAAAGATTGCTATTTTGATTGTTTATGTTGATGATATAATATTAACAAGTGATGATCATGTTGAGCTCAAAAGACTCGAGAGAGTTCTTGCTGATAACTTTGAGATCAAGGACTTGGGAGCCTTAAAGTATTTTCTTGGAATGGAGTTTGCCAGGTCTAAAATGGGCATCTTCATGTCGTAACGAAAGTATGTGCTGGATCTTCTTGGAGAGACAGGTCTAATCAGTTGCAAGGCAGCACAGACACCAATTGAACCTAATTTGAAGCTCCAATTTGCTAAACCCGAAGATGTGAAGAACGGGGAACAATTTCAGAGGCTGGTTGGTAGACTGATTTATCTGTCGCATACTCGCCCAGATATAACTTTTGCAGTGAGCATAGTAAGTCAATTTATGCACTCACCAGGTCCAGAATACTTCGAGGCTATGTACAGAATCCTAAGGTACTTAAAGGGATCACCAGGGAAGGGCCTGTTGTTTGAAAAGCACGGTCACCTACAAATTGAAGTATATATTGATGCAGACTAGGCTGGGAGTATAACCGATAGAAGGTCAACCTCTGGCTACTGTACTTTTGTTGGAGAAAACCTTGTTACTTGGCGTAGTAAAAAGCAAAATGTGGTGGAAAGAAGCAGTGCTGAAGCCAAATTTAGATTAATTGCCCACGGAATTTGTGAGGTGTTGTGGGTTAAGAGAATCTTAAACGAACTGAAGGTCTTAAGTCCCTCTCCGATAAAGGCATACTGTGATAACAAAGCAGCAATCTCAATAGCACATAATCCTGTTCTTCATGATAGAACCAAGTATGTTGAGGTAGACAAGCACTTCATTAAGGAGAAAATAGAGAACGGGCAGATTTGTATGACCTATATACCAACTGATGAACAGATTGCAGATGTTCTTACAAAAGGTCTGTCCAAGAAACAATTTGAGAAATTGGCGAACAAGCTGGCTATGGAAGATATCTTCAAACCAGCTTAAGGGGGAGTGTTGGAAAGGAGAATATTCGGCTGAGATTTATTACTGATCTCTAGGGATTGCCTAGTTGTATTTTATGTTTAAATATAGGCCTAGTCAACTCTGTAAATAAGGAAAATTTGTTGTATAGTTATTCTATTCCTTTTTTAATGCCTTGTATAGCCTATAAGTAGTGTACGTGTATATCATTCTCAGAATCAATGAAGTACCATTTCATTAAAACAATTCTTTCCTAATTCCTTGTTGTTTAGAAAGTCATTCTTGGAGACAAAGTTTGAGGTTAAAAGACCTCGGATCATTGAGATACTTTCTTGGCATCGAGGTGTGCAGATTGTAGAAAGGGGTGTTCATTTCTCAATGAAAGTATGTGTTAGATTTGTTGGCTGAAACAGGCAGGCTTGGAGCGAGACCTATTGATATTCCCATTGAGCAGAACCATAGGCTCAATGATGTTGATGGAGACTCATTAGATGATTTGGGAAGATTTCAGCGATTGGTTGGGAGACTGATTAACTTATCTCTTACGCGTCCGGATATTGCCTACGCTATTAGCGTGATTAGTCAGTTTATGCATGCTCCACGTACACCTTACCTTGAGGCTGCTCATCATGTTCTTCGCTGCCTCAAGGTTTCACCTGGTAAGGGGATATTGTTTGGCAATCATGGCCACTTGTATGTTGAAGCCTATACTGATGCTGATTGGGCAGGGTTTCTGACAGATCAACGATCTACTTCAGGATATTGCACATTTGTTGGAGGTAATCTTGTTCCATGGCGAAGCAAGAAATAGTCTGTAGTAGCTAGATCTAGTGCAAAGGTTGAGTTCAAATCTATGGCACATGGAGTTTGTGAGTTGTTATGGCTACGTACGATGTTGGGTGAATTGGGTTATCCTGTTCGCGAGTCAATGAAGTTGTATTGTGACAACAAGGCTACTATTAGCATTGCCCACAATCCAGTTCAATATGACAGGACAAAGCACATTGAAGTCGATCGACACTTCATCAAGGAAAAGCTTGGTCTTGGGCTGATTTATACTCCATACGTCAATACACATGATTAGGTTGTTGATGTTTTGACTAAGGGTGTGAGCAAGACATGGTTGCAAAATATGTTAGTCAAGCTGGACATGATAGATATCTTTGCGCCAGCTTAAGGGGGAGTATCGTTAGGGGCTTATTTGTTATTACTTATATAATGTTGGGGCTTATGTGTAATTTCTTAAACTTATTATTATAAATAGAATGTGGTGGAAGGATGAAAGTATTCTTTCATTCTTTCTCTCTTTTCTCATCTCTCTCTCTTTTTCTCTCATCTGCTTTCTTCTCTTTTTCTTCTTCTTTATCACTTACTCTTGATTTGATTATATCTTAAAGTCAACATGAAGTTGATGCTCTTCAACATTTGCTAGCTCAAAATGCCTCCACTTCCACTTCTAACTTTGTTGGAAGATGTACCCCTCATTCGGCACATTACGTTTCCATATTATCTAGTGGGCCACCCTAGATCATTGATTCAGGAGCCACTAATCACATGACTTGTATGGCATCTGATTTCTCTTTGAATAGTTTATGTTTGGTAGGGACAAGGATTGGGCAGCTGATGGCACCTTCTCCTCCATTATGGGGAAGGGCATTATTATCGTCTCTCCTAAGCTTACCTTATCCTTTGTTTTTTATGTCCCAAAGTTTACCAATAACCTCCTTTTTGTCGGTCACATTACAAAAGGCTTGAATGTAACCTTTTGTCCATCTCACTGTGTATTTCTGAACTTGCGCACGGGGAAGACAGTTGGGAATGGACGCAAGGACAATGGCTTGTATTTGCTGGACGTATGGCCAACTTCTTATTATTTAGATCTAGTGTTAAAAATAGTAATGTCAATAATGATATTTTAATGCGATGGCATAATCGACTTGGTCATTTTACCTATTTCTGTTTTGAATCTTTTAGTTAAATTATGAAACATGTGTTCTTACCAAACAATGTCGTGTTGCTTATCCTACTAGTATTAATGAAAGTATAGCTCCTTTGCAGCTTGTTCATTATGATGTGTGGGGTCCTAAATCTACTACTTCGCTACTTGGTTTTTGCTACTTTGTTGTTTTTGTTGATAATTTTAGTCGTTATACTTGCCTTTATCTTATGAAAACCAAAGATGAAGTTCATTCCTTCTTTAAAACCTTTTAGAAGATGATATGTACTTAGTTTGGTTGTCCCCTCAAAATCAAAGTTGTTCAAATTCAAAACGAAAGAGAATAGATGAATGTACGATGCAATTTGAAATTCGACAACTTGGGTTGCGATGGTCAGAGATGAAAAAAGACGAAATAACTAGTGCTGCAATGATGTTGCGATGCAATAAAGTGCAAGAACATACAGAAAGAGAATCGATGCAAACAAAGTCGATATCAGCTATATGATCAAACGAAGCTCTGATACCCTGAAAACTTGGAAGAAACTGATGTTATATTATTCAATTGTAAGTCTTACAAGTTACAACAGTACAAGTTTATTTATATGCCCTAACAAAAGGGGCTGATCGAAGGTAAAAGACTAAACTACCCTTATAAATGGTAAAAGACTAAAGTACCCATAAGAACTAAAAATATTCTCTAACAACGTTCTATATTTCTCAATTGTTAGACTTATTATTCATTTCAGTTTGTAAAAGCAAAAGAGTCTTTGGTCTTGTTGGGACCAGTTCTATGATTCTGCTCCCCAGAGTTAGCTATATGTTATCTGATATCATGATATTTTCTATTGAAGGAAATCTGGAACAAGAAGTCACCTACATCCCAAAGAGCATATTGTCCCTGATTAACTCTCAATTATGGTCTGTCTTTCATCAAATAATTTGAATTGAGACCCTTGCATCATCTATATCAATAATTTTCTGATTTTCTTGTACGATGTTGTAGGATAACACGAAGAATGCAGACAAGGGTGTTATGTTCAATTCTCTCTTTGTTGGCTTCTTTATCGCAAAATAAGCTTCCATACCGTGCAAACCATGAAGAGGTACACCTACAGTATTATTGCACCTTTTCTGTTAATGGCTTTTAGGTTTCAGTTATGATGTTAATCTATATTTGAAATTTCAAAAAAGAATAAAAAGAAAATTAATTTAAAAAAATTAAAAATCAATATTTGGAGTGGTGGCATGTGGTCACATGCTATTGAGATGGCCTGAAATCAGACTGAATTGTTGATCTTGGTGACAAAACTTCAAGCATGCAATCGAACATTGAACTGAATTGTTAAGTTTTGAGAATTTATCCGCGCCCCCCACGCCCTACCCCCCCGGGCGCGGGTGCACACACGCTATTCACTTTCCAACTTGTTACTCATGTACTAATGAGATCTACTGCTTCTTTTGTTGTGCATATTATATATATGTCATATATATCAGTGGTGGAGCCACATGAAGCGAGTGGGGGCAGTGGCCTCCACTGAATTTCTTTTTATTCTGATCATATATATTTATAGAGAGAGCATGTTGGGGTTGCTTTTGAGCAACTTAAAAGTGCTTATAATTTTAAAATTTTCTTAAACTTATATTAGGTAACAAAAATAAGTGCTTAATAACTTTTAAAAGTGCGTTGGGTGTAGAGGTTTCACAATTATAGGTAACTTTTTTTAATGGAAAAGGTTATCCCTTTGATTTTTCATAACGACAAAAAAGTCCTTGTATCAACAAACAAATAGAAGAAATTATTATAAAGTTATTATTCCAAGTACTTCAAGCAGTATTGTATCCAAAATAAATAAAAAAAGTACTTTTAACAAGACAAGTTACTTACATAACGTATCACTAAACACTATTATTCCTCTTTTCAACAGACAACATTCTTTTTCATTGCACTTCAGATACGTAAACCTTAGCCACAACAATGGCATACAAGCACATAATATAAATGTAGACTTGCCCCCTTTCAAAATCGACAATAGAATATTTTTCCATCCTCTCTTTTCTTTGTTTTTTTATCTTTTCTTTCACAAATTCTCAAGGCAAGCACGAAGTTTCCTAAATTCTTTTTTCCTTTTTCCCTTCAATTTCTCAATCCCAAGTCAGTATGCAAGAAACGTAATTCCCTCTTTTCACCCAATATTGCTCCTACAAAATAGAAAATTTTCATTTTGAAAACAAAAGTGTGATTTGTGAACATCAGATTGCTTTATTTTATAGTTTGAGAAAGATGTTGATGGCTTTGATACTGAAGTTACTATGCAAGGACCAACAGGTGGCCTAGCAGTATCAGGTTCTTACTTTCCAAAGGGAGGTCAGGGGTTCAAGCCTCCATGAAGGCATGTGTGTGTGAGTATCAACTAACAAAAAAAAAGTTACCATGCAAGGCTTTCAAAACATGAAACTTGTTTATGGCAATTATAGATGTATTGAGTGCAAATATTATCAAGCCATATTTAAGTTTTTATTATTTGTCGTTTTGTTTTAAAAAAAAAAAATTATATATTATCTTATTATTGTTCGAGATCACCCCCACTAAAGTAAATTTCTGGCTCAGCCATTATATGTGTACATATATTGTACTCCAAGGATTTGTACTTTTTTCCAAAAATATATTGTTAATATGGATTTATCATTTACTTTACAAGCAAATTATCTTTTGATATACCAACAGGCTTGTGGCCTAGCGGTACAAGGCTCCTACTTCCCAAAGGGAGGTCAGGGGTTTGAACCTCAGTGGAGGCAGTGTGTGTGAGTCCCAACTAGGAAAAAAAAAAAAAAAAAAAAAAAAAAATATCTTTTGATATCTTTTAGAAGTTTGTTGCAGTATATGAATGCTCTATCAATTATCTAGCTCTTTAATATTTGTTCTTTCTGACCTTTCCAGATTCTGGGCAATGACACTTTATTTTTTGGTGATCCAACCTATTCGGAAGAGCTTTTATCCTTTTCTACTTGTGTTGTTCAGACCCTAGTCAGTTGTATATTACAAGAGCCTTCCCAGGTAACTTTGGTTCCTATGACTTATTAAAATTGTTGCATTCAAGGACCAATTTCATTTCTGCCTATTTCTAATTGACTAATAGTATTAAAATAATGCCAACTTTTAATGCTGGCATCAAGGCTATTCGTGGAAGCATGGCGCTTGAAGCTTGCAATTGTGTTGCATCATCTTTCAGAGTACGTGGCAACGTTATCTTTCAGTGGTTTCTTTTGAATAGTACTTTATCCTGGAGCCTTTTTTTTTTCCTGTTTTTTTGGCTGGGGTGGGTCATAAATTTACTTTTGGGAGCCCTGTAAATGATGCATGCCATCTAATAAAAGTTTAGTGTCTTTGCAATTGACCAAACTGCCATCTGATGCTTTTTACCTGACCAAATTACTTCTGAAATTCTATTATCATTCATACAATGTTTCATCCAAGCTCGTATAGTTCACTATCTATTGAATTCTTCCTTGGGATGGAAGTTAAGCGAGGTTGGAATTGTTCACTAAATGCAACACGTGTTTGTCTTATTATTAATTTCTACGCATGATCAAATTGATTTCCAACTGTTGTTGCCTAATGTTTTTCTTCTTGCATTTGTATTTGTATGTGGCAGCTAAATCATGAAGTATTACTAATCTGCTCAAAGTTGATGGAAACTGCCAAGTTATCTCTGAAAAGTAATGACAAATATTTGCAAGCCACCATGAACTTTGTAGACGAATTGTTGCCGCCTGCATCTCCAGAGGACAAAGGATCATCAGTAGACAACAGACATATAAAGGGCTTGTGACGTGTTAAACTAGAGTTGGTAGATTGGCGCATATCAATTGCATTCTCTAATAATTGGTATTCTTCATTCATGCTTGGTTCACTTTTTCGATAAAAGTTTTATGTTTTCTGAAGGAAATTAAACCAAGCAAGTTGTACTATTCTTTCAAAGATTCACCTTTGATGTATAAATCATTGAAAAATAAATAAATTTCTTTAGTTCATTGAATATTAAGAAACATGGTGTAATTATTATAATTTTTTAAAATAAAAGAGGAAGAAAAATCGAATGTAAAAAATACTGACGCACAAGGTAAACTTAGATAAATTCCAATCTTCAATGAGTTCGAATAGGAGAAATCCTTCAACCAATTTATTATATCCAGTCTCAAAATCAAGCTTATGAACATGTAGAAACAGAAACCAATTTCCCAATAATGTCACACATTCCCAATTACATGCACCGAATCAATCATCTATTTTGTTGATTTGATTCAGTTTGGTTCCACAATTTATATATTACTGGGGATTTATTTTTACTCCATCCCATCCTTATGTGCACCCAATTTATCATCCCATTCCTACGGTCGCCCAATTTATCGAGAACGACTTCCTTATATCTTTAATACTCTTTTCACCTAAGTAAAAGGGCTTTATTTTAGTGGATACAATCATTATGTGTAAGTATAATCAATTAAAGATATAACATCACTAATACAACTAACGCAATTAAGTTTTTTTCCCGAAATCCTTGCTTCCATCCCACACTGCCCGCACCTAACATCAAGTGGACACGGTATAATATAGGGTAAATTCTCCTGACCTCCTCTCAGGTTTCTTTTTATTACCCCCAAGATTAAACTTTTTGCATTCTTTCTCAAACACCCCTATCAAACTAATTGATATTATGCTTTTACTATTGTGCCCTCAAATTAAAGTACTAAGCTATAATAGTACACATGATATATCCTGCTAGTTTGTGAAATCTCCAAAATGTCCCAATTAGAAACCGCCTACTGCCTCCACCCAAGTCGATACCTCCCACCAAAGCCATTACTAGAAATGGGTCTTGATTCGTTAGTCAATCAATTCTGTAATGTTTTTCATTTTTTCATTTTTTTTTATTTTTTTGGGTATTTTTTAATTTTTTGGATTTATTTTATCATCTCGTTTTGCGTATCAGGCATCGTTCGGTGTACTGTGTGAGTTCCGAGAGTTGGTTGAGGCATTTATTTGAGTTCAAAACTCTTAAAAATGCATTGTTAGTCATTTTTCGAAATTTTCAGATCTTCAATCTTAGAGGTCCTGGGTGGGTCCTACACCCAGATTTTTCGTGTGCGGGTAGTCTTTTGGGGGCCATATGCATTTCATTATATTTATTTGGAGCATGATTATGTGATTGACTGCCTAATTGTATCAATTATAGTGTGTTTAGTGTATATATGTATAAAGAGGCAAATTAGATATTTTGAACCAAGTGGGACCCACGTTGACCAAGCTTTATATTTATATGACCACATATTCATTTTAGCCACACTTTCTTCTTTCTTTCAGCCGTGATTTTCTCTCTCTCTCCTCATTTTTCTTTTTCTTTTGATCTTGCATTTCAAGCTAAAGATCCATCCGTTTCCTTCATGATTTTGATTTTACCATTGAAGTCAAAGTTAACGAGCACGACAAGGGCTACGATTTGATCGGACGCTAAGGAGCTGCTTTAGGTCAGGGATAGTTAGCCAATCCTTCTCTTGTGGCGCCATGGAGCTGACCTGAGGTGGGTTGTATTAAAGGTTTGGAAAGTTGTGATTAGAAAAAGGTTTCGAAAAAAATGAGGAGTGACATTAGCGTCACATTATCATTGCATTATTGTGTGGATATTGTTGGAATTATATGATGATATTACCTTCCCCAAATAAGTATGATCCCTCCTCTATTTGCTATTCCTTGTTTGGATTCACTGTATTATTAAGGAGTGCGTTTTAGGCACCTCCTACTGAGTCATTGTGCCCACCCCTTTATTACTATTTTTCAGGAACCGATAAAGAAGTCATGGATAAAATCACCACCTAAAATCTAATGACATTGAGGACCTTTTTGCCAATTAGAAGTTTAGACCTCCTTGGAGCCATGTAGATTTTTAAGTTTGAAAAATTATAATGAAACATGTATCTATTTTGTTGCAAGCTTGTATTAAACCATGACTTGTATTCATTTTGCGATTAGAAATGGTTTTTAGACCATTCTTTTGCCTTTTGTGGTCTTATTAGGATTTCAAATTTCATGCAAGGCTCGTCGTCATTTTATGATGCAATCGAATCTATTTTTTATTTCATTTGATGTATCAAGTCTACTATGATGATTATATGAATACAATGATGTTATGTTAGGATTATTTTCCAGTTAATTAGATGATTTTAGGATAGATTTACTTTGCATTTGAGCTTACAAGCAAAGCCATGGGGGTGTCCAAGGCCTTAGGTACCAAAAAATGGCCATTTTTGTCACTCACAGGTTCTGTCAGCCGACTGGCAAGGTCCACCAGTCGACTGATGGCCAAAACAAAGAGTTTACTACGTTGAGACATCATTTCGGCCGGCTGACCTTCACTGTTAGCCGGCTGATCCCTTATTTTATACTGACTGAAGCTCCCAGCACACCTGTAGTTTTGACCAGACTTCAAACAGTCATATCTCCTTCATTTGAACTTCAAATTTGATCAAATTTGAGTTCAATTTCAAGGTTTTGAGTCAGCTTTCCAATGGTACCAACTTCATCCAAAAAGTCCAATTGTAAAGGAAGTTGTGACTATTTTAGTGCAGACTGTTCTGGAAATCTTCTAAAATAGGGATGGTCATTCATGTGAAAACATTGTACTCACACCTAGAACCTTAAAAAAAATGTGTTTATAAGGCCATGATGACTTATATAGACTTCCTTTGACTCATTTAGAGTCAACCCACTTCTCTCTCTTACCTTGAAATGACTAATTTGCCTTTATGCGTCCTCGGGTTCGGGTAAAGACCCAGTTAGTGATTCTGACCCCCAAATTTGGGTCGTGACAAAGTTGGTATCAGAGCTCCAGGTTTGACTACCTAGGGACGATGGGAATGGGTAGACATGTATTGGTGGGGCATGTGGTAGTTAGTCATGTATGTGCTTTATGTTAATTCGTTGTATGATAGGTGTGTTAAATTTTTTTTTTTCCTAAATGAAAGGACTATATATATAAACAAAATAGTACATGGAGACATATGAGGGCATACCCTTATAATAGAAACAATCAAAGTCCTAAAAAGGACAAAAACATCTTAGACTAACAAGCAACAGAAAATTACAAAATGTCCTGTAGGTTAACCCCTGGTGTGTTAAATTAAAGCATGCTCTATATGATTACGTGCTATTTGCTTAAGTTAAGACATGTTATATGAAAAGAGTGATTATGCGCTAAGTGCTACGCATGTTATGTGTTATATGTGTTCCACTTAACAAAAATTGATTTATGAGCATGTCATACGTTGTTACCTATTACTTGTCTAAGCATATGATGTTGTTGTTATATGCCACATACAATTTATCTAGCTTATCTATGCGTAAATGAGAAGGTGTTATGGCTCTATCATGATTTTGTAACGACCCGAACCCGTGGGTCTGAATCACTAACCGGGTCCTTACCCGAACCCGAGGTCATCTAAGGGCATTATGGTTAATTCCAAGGTCAATACATAATATATGTGCCACGCCAAGGCTTATATATATATAAAAAAATAAATAAATAAATAAAAAAATAAAAAAAATGAGATCACAAATACAAAAAATGTCAAAACAGTTCACTAACCCATTCAAACTTATGGAGGAGTGTCGTCCGCCACTTCCTTCCCGTGACCTGAAAAATGTAATAATATGATGGAGTGAGCCAGTCCCTCAGTAGAAAGGGTCTAAGACACACCTCTTACGACCTCATGAATCCACACAAAGAATAGCGTACAAGTGAACGGGTTCATGCCTTAGGAAAATAAGTAAAACAACAAGTGCAACAAGAATGCAAACTAGTCATCCTACCACCAAATATACAACAAATGCCAGTGAAATGCAATGTCATGCAATGTCGCTCCCCGTTTCCGTAACAATCTTGTTTCACCTTCTCAAACCGTTTAGTGCAATCTGACCCATGGCAACTCCATGGCGTCACGAGAGGAGGATTGGCTAACTATCTCCGACCACATTGCAACTCCAAGGCGTCATTAAAGGGCCTAGGTAGTTCAACCACGCTAAGGTCTCACCCTAATCCCCTCTAGACCACACTAACACCACAGACCACTAGGCAACTCCTAAGCGTCCGAATTTTCGCAAACACTTTTCGAAAATATTTTTTTCCAAAACAATGTCATTTGTTTTTTAAAACACTTTCCCTTTTTTTTCTTCCCAAAGAATGCATGAATGCTTCATGCTTCCAAATGCTAATTCAACAATTAATTTCCACACTTTCCATCTACATCATAATCACATTTTGAAAGGACATCCTAAACATTTATTTTCCACAACTACAACATCAAATTTTCATGGCAATTGGAAATCATAAGTCATACAACATGTCAATACTAAGCATGCTTCTTCACCACAATGAAATAGTTATGTACATGGACTCAATTAACACATAGAACACATTTATCATCATGAATACATATATCCACAACTATAGACAAAATAACTAAAATTTAGCATGCTTAGAACCAAATTAGAGGGGAAAATTCTCGAGAAATCAAAGAAGTCATGAATTAGAGCACCCCTACCTCAATTAAGATGAAAAGCCCCAATTCAGCCCCCAAAATCTGAAATCCCAAGGATGGCCAATTCAAGATATGCTCCGATCAAAACATAATCCTCAACAAGCTTGTCAACTTTGCCTTCTATGGCAAAGTCAAAATCTAAGTGCAAATGGTAGAAATCAAGGCTTATAGTGGTGAAGAAAATAAAAGAAAAAAGAAAAAGAAGAGATGCTGGAGAGAAAGAGAAGCTGAGTACGAAAATGGGAAGGAAATGGTCAGATGGTGACCATTTGGTCATGGTAATGACCACACACATAGTGGTAGGTCCTACAAAACATAAATATCCAATTTTTATCATTATATGCACATAACCACATATATACATGATACCACACACATTTAAACTCGTCTTCACATAAAATACATCAAATAAACATGCATGAAGTACAATGAACCCAAAATAAAATCCCCGTACACAACAATCCCGGTAGCAGGTCCCACTTGGGACCTCCCGGCCCGA